AGTTAAAACTATACAAAAATACAAAGAAAAATATAAAATAAACTAAGTGATCTCTTCTTAAGGAGTTTGATGATTTTCTTCGTGCTGGAACGTCCTATTTATAGGCAGAAGAGTGAAGGGCAAAGTGGGTAATTCTCTTGGAGTTGTTTTCTTGACTGCATGGAAGGGGCGGTGTGAACAGTGCTTTGAGGGGCGCAAGTGGCTGGATGAGACAGTTATTGTTGAGATTTGTCTTTCTTTCTGATCATTCTCATGCCTTGCTTTCCTCTTTAACCAATAGGAACCGTTTATTCTCTACTGCGCACGTTTCCTCTGGCTCTGTTGCACCGCTTATGCTTTATGGAAACTTATTTCCAACGTTTCCTGCAAAGTGGTCAGAAATATTAAATGAGTGGAGCAGGTGTATTTAATGTTCCAAATTCATTCCCCTTTTTATATATTTTCCAAAAACTTACGTCACCATCCGTTCCCCACTGTGTTTTTGTCAAAAAGATATTAAACAAGCTTTTAGTGCTAAAGTTGCTCATCAGGTGAGGGAACAGATGACATTTTACCATTAGAATGGGCTTAGATGGAAACAAATTTTCATCCCATCATCACATACCAAGTGCAAAACACATAGCATACACATACATATATCAATGTATCTTATCAAAATCTAATGCAATTACATACACCTCATAAAACCACTACCCCTCCTGGGAATAGTGGAACAAATAAGGAATAAATTTCAAGATCTGAAAACTTACCTATGAAGCTTCCACACTAGTTTACTTCCCATACAAGTAACCTTTTAAAACAAGAGCTTTACTTGAAACCACACATGACAAGCTTTACCAATATCAACACCTATCACAAGGTGAAGGAAATACCATCAACAACCAATACATATCAACGTAAAGTCAATAGTCACACAATATACCATCACACATGATACTTACCAAAACTTTAATTCATTCAAGTTTCAACCAATTTCCATGGCTTCATCCAATGATTGATTTCTTCTCCTTAGTTCACTTGATTCAATCCTAAATAAATATGAACACAATCTCCATCAACAATAGCTCAATATATCAATTACTTGGAACACAAGTAACCATACTTTCAACCTAAAATTTTGAAAATTGCATAGGTTGCCTAAATGATGATTTTATCCCATTTTCACCGTTTATTTAGGTTTACTAGCATACTTTCCAACTAGAACCAAGTCCAAATCACTCTCCAATACCATCATCTTATTCAACATTTCATTATGGAAACCTAAATATGAAACTTTATGAAACTTTGGTGAAAATTGGATTTCTTACCACCAATGTCTTCAAAATAATCCCAGGAGTGCTTTTCTAGCTTCAAATGAGATCAAACCCAACTCCAAGCTTCATGAACATCATACAGGGTGCCACTTTCAAGATGGATTTTTTCCTCACACACTTGCTCTCACAAAGATTTCTTTACATGGTTTTGATCGCAAGGAAATTCCTAACCTCTTTCATGTTCAAGCTTTCTTGATTTAGTGGCTAAATAAAAAGTTGTATTTCAAGCTTTAATAGCCATGGTGTCTCGATTTCAAGGCAAGAAGTCACAAAGAATGTGCTAAAAATGTTATATCTAAGTGTGTTAAACACACTTAATTAAGTTTGACTTCAATTACTTTCTTTAAAAATATCTTATTAGACAAACTAGCAAACTAACATTCTTGTTAATTCTCTAATAATTCAAGACTTAATCATTTTTACTAAATTCCAACCTTCACCAATGTGACTTAATAATGTCACACTATATCATTTTCAAGTTCCGGATAACTTTTGCATAATTACGTTTTTGCCCAAAACTTCCACTAATTATATTTTTGCCCAAAAGTAACTTTTATTCTTTTAATTAGACCTCTCATTTATTTACTCCATTTGATCCATGATTAAACCCTTAATCACATGGTAATTTCATAATTCCCAGGTTAGGGTTAATACAACAAGTTTGGTGCTTATGATTTATACGCTACAGCTTGAGGGAAATTGTTGTATATATAGTAGAAGTAGTATAGGCTTAGTCCCATATCGTGTATTTCAAGCTGTATATACTCAGTAGTTCTATATATAACTTTCGTTGTGTTATTACTCTCACGAATTTATTCTAATATTCCTTTTGTCTCTTGTTTCTGTACACCATAAACTAGGAATTTTGTGAAATTCATCATGTTACAGACTTCAAAGTTTTCAAAGGAAAGTCAAGATGTCAAGGACACAAAATTTTGAAGGAAAAAACTTGATGTCTTTTTAAAATAAAATGTTGTTGGTAAACCAAACTTGAAAGTTTAATGGAAGTCATTTAGCCACAAACATGGGACTTTAAGAAAGATAATCTAGTCAAAGATCATGAATATCTTAGAAAAATCTACAAGAATATTACACACTTGACCAAGCACTTGAAGAGATTGAAGGACCTTCTAGAGATTGATGGAGACATAAACTTAAAGATTGAATAACTCCTCATGTAGAAAGTACAAGTATTTTCATGATGTCAACATGTCACCAAGTCAAATGTCTTCTTGTGGCCATATAGAGATGGAAGTTATGATGATGTCAAAGCAAAGCTTCAAGCTACTAAAGTGAAGAACTCAAGTGTCAAAGTGAAGTTTCCAAGAGATCAAGTGAAGAAGTGAAGAGTTTTGGTATTCCTGTGTTTTAAAATGTAACATCTTGGTGTTGTTCCATTGAGATTTTTCATGTGATTTCATATAGGACAAATGTCATTCTTAATTTCTCTTCTTTTAAATTAATCGTGTATATCTTCTTTAATTTTTTTTGTTACACTTGTATCAATATAACTTACACCGATATAAAATGATTATGTCATTATATATATATATAGGGGAAGAATTTGTTAACAAATTATTTTACAAATTACAGTAAGTCTGGCTGATCATACACTCTTAATTGAAGTATGACCGGTCATACACTCTTAATTGAAGTATGACCGGTCAAACATAGTGTAGTTTGTAAGAGTTTGTAAATAAAAAGTTTATAAATATAACTTTCTCCATATATATATATATATATATATATATATATATATATATATATAGTGTTTCTCCTATCACAACTGATAAAGTAATATCATACAATCCAAAACGACATCATTTTGCATTTGGGGAAAAATGTAGTGGGATTTTGGAAAAATTGATGTTACAAGAGAAATGAAATTCGTAAAATGCCCTGTTGTTTTTTTTTCTTCCAAATCTCAAAATGGCGTTGTTTTGGAGTTGTAGGAAACAACCTTAATTTTTATGACTATATATATATATATATATATATATATATATATATATATATATATACATATATATAATTGATGAATGAGAATAACTCATGACACGTGTAAAAATGAATCAAGGTTATGTTAAAAAAAAATGAACCAAGGTTTGGTAATAAAAGAAATACTCCAAGTAAGGGGGTGCTCTTGGCAGTGTCTAGCGACCTAAACATATGTTATGCAATACGTGCAAGTGAATTCATTCAAGGCAAAGAATCAATTAAGAATGTGATAACCAATACTAATCCATTGAGATTTGTCATGTCATTTCATATACGATTGAATGGTTTTATGAATGTCTCATGTTCATTCATGCACCATCTTTCGTGACATACATATAATAAGTTAAAACAATCTTGAAGACATCATACTAGGTTGATAAACTTTATTTAAAACATTCCCTAGATTCATACTAGGTTTTTTTTGGATGCATAGATCATACATATTAAGTTAGAATATCTACGTTAGGACATCCTAGTACATGTAGTCTTGCTTGGGACATAATATCATAGGACCTTGGCAACATGTTGTAACATATTGGGTGATGTGTCCATGCCATGTCATGCGCCTAACCCTAACCATAGATCAAGCCATAACCTAACTAGAGTTAAACGTAACTCAATTATGATCTATGATGCACGGACACGGACACGGGACACGAGACACAACACGACGCGACACGCCGACACGTTAATTCTAAAAAATGTCATATTTCGACACGTTGGGACACATTTTGATATTAAATAAAAATTTTAATATATATAATGTAATTTATATTTAATACATATAAGAGTCCATAATAAATCATATAACCAATCAAATATTTAAATTTCATAACATAAATATAAATATAAATAATTTTTCGTACTTTGTTAATTTTTCATGTCAAATTTCATAATAGAAAAAAATTAATTTATAAATTATTTCTTTTATATTTAGTTAACAAAATAAAATTAAGATTTAAAAAAAAAAAACGTGTCCGAAAACTTGTCCGAGAGTTGACCGCGTGTCGAAAAAAGTTGACTGCGTGTCGGAAAAACGTGTCAGAGAGTTGACCGCGTGTCCCCAAATGTTGACCGCGTGTCGGGCACATATCCGAGCGTGTCCGTGTCGGACACGTGTCCGTGCTTCTCAGATTATGATAAAGTGGTTAGTTGGTTGGTAATAACTAAATTGGTTAGTGGATCTAACTTCATTTAGATAATACTGTTCACGTGACATTATTTAGTCTGCTGTTACTTAAATATTGACATATGTCATTCTTAACTTCTCTTCTTTTAAATTATAAATTTAAATTCTTTTAAATTAATTATGTATAAAATATAAATTAGATCAACCATTAGGATTAACTATTAGGATTAAAAATATAACTTAAATCAGTATAAAATGATCTTGCCAATATATATGTATATATTGATGAACAAAAATAACTCATAACACGTGAAAATGAATCAAGGTATAGAAATAAAAGAAATACTCCAACTAAGCGGGTGCTCTTGGCAGGTGTGTAGCGACCTGTGCGTATGTTAAGCAATACGTGCAAGTGAATTCATTCAAGGCAAAGAATTAATTAAAAATGTGATAACCATTGCTAATCTATCAATAACATTTACATCCAAGCCATAAAACTTCCTATTGAATAAGTGTTATAAACTCATTTTCCAGCAGTTAGAGACGGGTTCTTGTGCTCACTAAACTTCCTCATGGTCTAAAGAGAAATCAGGTTCATCTGGCTTGAACAATTGCGGCACAGGATCACTGCCGTGAATCTTATTGTTCCCTTTCCTCGTATTGGCAGCAAATTTTGAGGCCAAAACAGTTGCACCAATATTTTGAACCTTTTTCATATTCCCTGACGATCCCTCGATCTCGCTTACAATGTAACTATCACTCTCGCTTTCAGGCATAGCCATGTAGTAGAGGCCCTCTTTGAGGGACAACTCCCTTGTTGCTTTCCTTTTCTGATGCCTTCTCCAAGCAGTTTGTATGAAGCAAGCACTCCATGTCCTCCATTGATGGGAATAATACCTAAACGCATGCTGAAGTTTCATGCTGTGAAGGCGCTTGAACTGACTTGCCACAAATTTCAGATCCTCTGCTTCTAGTGCAAAAGCTTCAACTTCAGTAAGAGCTTTGACAGAACGAGTAGAAGAAGGTAGGTTGAGGGTTGAGTTTGGCATTAAGGCCCATGTCAACAATTCCTCTCCACAAAAGTCACCAGGCCTGAGTGTGATGGAATTGAAGAATCCAGACCTTCCTCCATTGGTTGTGGAGCTCTCTAATTGCCCTCTAATGATAAACAGCATTTCATCTACTGGATCACCCTCTCGAAATATGTAGGTCCCTTCAGTGTTTAATGATGACACAAGTCGTTCACAAATGGCATCAAGTAGCTGATCGTCCATTTGTGAGAAGAAGGGGACCTACCAAAAATTAAAAAGGAAAATTGTGCATCATTAATTGTTGTATCATACTGGGTAATAATGGTCTTCAGTCTACAATGAAGGAACACTTGGTGATATTTAACACAATAATAAATATCATGTAATTTGCTTTTTCAACTGCTTATTTACTTAAAATTGTTGCATTGCAGCAAGGTAAGATAGATAAATAATAACAAAATGTGCCAAGGTAAAGAAAGACATACACGCCGCACAAGAGAAAGACACAAGTGATGTTGAATTTCACGACGAAGATCCAAAGGTAAAGAAAGCAGTATGGCCTCTTCATTAACTCCTCTTGTTGCAAGCCATTTATATTGAACAAAGCGACGGACACGTTCCTGCAGATCTTGAGGTAACTGGCGATGCCTCATCCACTCCTCTGTATCTTTTTTCCGAATCCTCCATTCTTCAAGTCTAACTGACATCGATTGCAAGTACGTCTTCGACAAAGAGGAAAAACAATACTCTTTAGCCAAAATCAGTATCTGTATTACTGGTATAACAAAACACAAAGATACATTCCGACACAGTTTTCTCCTAGTAACTCACCATATCACCCTCATAAATTTATATCATATATCAATATATTATTATTCTCCTAGTCTTACCTGCATGTTTCCAATCAAAAGTGAAAACAGAATTAATCCAGCAATGCATAAAACGATGCAAAAAAGTGTCTCCAGAAGGTATGTGGTGGTGTCCAAATTCTGTCCATATGAGCTGCGAAAGGAAATTATCGGGTGATTTCTCAATGAGTATATATGCAGTAATGTGTGAGAGATATAGTGACAATTGTTATATGCTTCTTCTGAAACATATATGCTTAGATAAATCTATTATTATATGATTTAAGACTTGAAATTCAACAATTGTCATGAATATGCTTCTTTTGAAACAGACCTAAAACGAAATTGTAGCATAGTATGCATAAAAGGATAACACAATCAAGATGCCATACCTTAAATTTCTTAAACCCCACCAAAGACAATAGAAGTATCTTTCCTTAAAATTGGAAGTGACAACATCATTTAGGAAAGCATCAGCAAACATCCCAAACTTATATTTGATATTGATCTTGCTCTTTGCATCGCATTTGCTAATAACACGGGTGATATTTAGCCAAAATTGCCTTTCAGGGAGGTCCAAACTATTACAATCAAGAAAACTAGGTAAGCAAGACAGGGTATGTGATCTGTTTTCCTGTTCGCACTGTGTTTTCCAGCAATTAAATTGTCTCCCTATTGACGATAGATACCAAGTTGCTCCTGTAATCTGTTCCAACAATAAACCATGATAACTTAAAACAAGAAAAAAAAAAAAAAAAATTGAAATCCATTTAGTAAAAGGAATAGCAAAAGATGCAATCAAGGTGTTTACATGGCTAGCTAGCATGTAGAGAACAAGATTGTAAGCAGCTCCAATCCAGGGAGTCTTGGCAATAACGCCAGTTGTTTTCTGAATACGCTGGTTCAAAGGAAAGATAAGAAAAAGCCTAGGAACATACTGAATAAGAACAAAAAGTGCAAGAGTGTTGTTGGCATGATCAGTTCTTGCGTTTCTACTCGCTGGAATAACTAACCAAATCACAATCTGCAAGACAAAATTAAAAATAAAATAAATAAATAAATAAATAAAACAAACTTAAAACCATTACAAATCGTGCATTACAGTCCTTAACAACTTGGGACGCTTCCAATTCAATATTTATCCACAAACAAGTAACACACTCACATAAATAAATATATCAGAAAAACCATAAATCATTGTTGCACCAAGTTCTAGCATGCAACTTGTTCTAGACAAGTACATTGAGCCCTACACTTAAACTAATTTTCTATCCTTTCCGTTTACATTTATGCCACTAAATTAGCATAATATCTCCTAGGAGTCCACAATCCCACAATCAAAGCAACAAGATTCAATCTCAAGTATATTCTTTATAGGGCCTTCATATCAATCTAACCTAATTGCATTCTACATAATGTTCTGATACTAACTTGAGCGTCATAGAATTTCCGCGATCACACATAGATCTGGTAACCACTCTCAATAAGATTAAAGAACAAACCCAAGTGGAGAAGGCTCCCTAACTTGCGAAGACAGAGATGACGGTTGTTGATTGTATACCACCTTAACCTTACATTTTTACTCGAACCCGTGATCTTTCAATCACAGGAAGCAATTTTACCACTACTCCAATGCTCGCAGTCAGTCTCAACAAAAGGAAAAAAGAATGACAAAAAAATATTAAATACCTGAGGGAGTGGGATGGTAGCAGCAAGGTCAATGACAAAATCACTCTTCAAGTAGCGTATTGCGATCTCGCGCCCATCCATGACGAGCTCACCGCGACCGAAGATTCTAGAATTGGGGGCGACAAATGCGGTACGGAACTTCATAACCATGTGGAGGACATAGAAAAGGTCGGCGAAGGAGCGAATGAGGGTAACCAAGATGCTGAGTTTGGGGTCTGCCGTCAAGCAAGCGGGTCCACCAACGGTTGGGAGGAAGAAGTAGAGAGGATCGACGAAGAGTGCGAGGAGGCTTGTCACAAGGAATACCTTGTTCCAATATGCTACGATGTCGCTGTCTGGGTCCAGGATCTGATATCTCCATAGGATGTGGTGAGCCTGTTCCTCGTCGGTCGCCGCGGTTGTGGGTCTCGACCGGAGTCGCCGGAATTGGCGGAACTTAGACGCCGGCGTGGATATTATTCTATACATCTTCCATGGCGGATTCCGGGGTTAACGGATTCCGCGGCCGAGGAGGGAGGTTTCGGAAGGGAAAGTGGTGAGAGGGAATAGAGAACAAAGAAGAAGAAGAAGAACAACAACAACAACAACGAGGAGGAGGAGGAGGAGATCAGTGTTGCAGAGAGAGGAGTGACGAATGGTGATGATGTGGTAGGAGGCATTTTTGAACGTTGAGAAATTCGCGGGAAATTGAAGGGAATGCGTGAACGTAGCAGGGTGTGGGGGTGGGAATGATATCTGAAGAGACTAGACAAAGACATAGACTTTTCAAATATTTCAATCCCCAAGTTTGGCCTTTGTAGCTCTTTGCTAAAAATTTGGGCCATAGGAAAAATAAAATATATCACTCATTTAATTTTTTTGATAAATTATTAATTTATTTCTTAGAATCTGAATCAATTCTTATTATTGAAGAAAGTGAAAATATATTATTGAAGAAAGTGAAAGTAAGTTCTCTTTTACACAAAAGGTAGTTACTTATAGTACCACTTACTATTAACTAAAAAGAAATTAACAAACAAGCCCAAACTGTAAATCAAATAACTAACTAACAGAAATGAATGAAAGAAACAAAATAACCAATCACTCGCAGCTGAGCAGGTATATCAACACCCCCCTCAAGTTGGAAGGTGGATATCTCTAAACCCCAACTTGTCCATGAAGTCACGAAAGTAAGTAGGATGAAGGGCTTTGGTAAACATATCTGCAAGCTGTTGGGATGAGGCAATAGGTATCAAATGAATCAATCCCTGTAAAGTCTGATGCCGTGTGACATGGCAGTCAAGCTCTATATGCTTGCTACGTTCATGGAAAGAACGATTGTGAGCTAAGTGGACAGCTGCGTGATTATCACAATATAAGGCCCAGGAATGTGAACATGAAGATCATGTAGTAGATATGTGAGCCACTGAATCTCGCAAGTCAAGGAGGCTAAAGCACGATATTCTGCTTCAGCTAAGGATCGACTCACAGTAGTTTGCTTCTTGGTTTTCCAAGAAACCAGAGAAGTGCCGAGAATAACACAGAACCCAGTAATGGATCGACGTGTATCCAAACAGGTAGCCCAATCTGCATCACTGAAACCAGAAAGTGTTAGGGAACTACTATAAGAAAAGAATAGCCCCTTTTGTAACATCCCAAGAGCTGGCAAGGGCAGGGAGTGATCGCCGATGCGAAAGGACACGGACAATGAGCGGCTCATGCCAAATCTTGCAGCTTGGGGGTTCATGAATGAATCGAATCAACACCCGAAAGAGAGGGATTCCAGAGACTGTGCTAGTATGGGACGGTACAGTTATGAATGGCTTATAAGAATTAATTGGTACTACCTATACTAACAAGATGCATCTACTTTTCGGTAGCCCGGATCGGAAGAACTCCACAGTTAAGCGTGCTTGACTTGGAGCAATTCTGGGATGGGTGACCTCCTGAGAAGTTTTCCCGGGAAGTGTGCGAGTGAGGACAAAGCACGCTGAAAAGTCTCGTGTTAGTGTGTGGGGACAGTCATTGATCCTTGCAAGTTGTCGGGCGTTACACTAAGTGGTATCAGAGCAGGGCCACTTTTCCAGTACGGTGTGGTTCGAGGACGAACCAGGCGGAAGCTGGTGGGCATGTAACATCCCAAGAGCTGGCAAGGGCAGGGAGTGATCCCCGGTGCGAAAGGGCACGGACAATGAGCGGCTCATGCCAAATCTTGCAGCTTGGGGTTCATGAATGAATCGAATCAACACCCGAAAGAGAGGGATTCCAGAGACTGTGCTGGTATGGGACGGTACAATTATGAATGGCTTATAAGAATTAATTGGTACTACCTATACTAACAAGATGCATCTACTTTTCGGTAGCCCGGATCGGAAGAACTCCACAGTTAAGCGTGCTTGACTTGGAGCAATTCTGGGATGGGTGACCTCCTGGAAAGTTTTCCCGGGAAGTGTGCGAGTGAGGACAAAGCACGCTGAAAAGTCTCGTGTTAGTGTGTGGGGACAGTCATTGATCCTTGCAAGTTGCCGGGCGTTACACTAAGTGGTATCAGAGCAGGGCCTCTTTTCCAGTACGGTGTGGTTCGAGGACGACCCAGGCGGAAGCTGGTGGGCATGTAACATCCCAAGAGCTGGCAAGGGCAGGGAGTGATCCCCGGTGCGAAAGGGCACGAACAAGGAGCGGCTCATGCCAAATCTTGCAGCTTGGGGTTCATGAACGAATCGAATCAACACCCGAAAGAGAGGGATTCCAGAGACTGTGCTGGTATGGGACGATACAGTTATGAATGGCTTATAAGAATTAATTGGTACTATCTATACTAACAAGATGCATCTACTTTTCGGTAGCCCGGATCGGAAGAACTCCACAGTTAAGCGTGCTTGACTTGGAGCAATTCTAGGATGGGTGACCTCCTGGAAAGTTTTCCCGGCAAGTGTGCGAGTGAGGACAAAGCACGCTGAAAAGTCTCGTGTTAGTGTGTGGGGACAGTCATTGATCCTTGCAAGTTGCCGGGCGTTACACTAAGTGGTATCAGAGCAGGGCCTCTTTTCCAGTACGGTATGGTTCGAGGACGAACCAGGCGGAAGCTGGTGGGCATGTAACATCCCAAGAGCTGGCAAGGGCAAGGAGTGATCCCCGGTGCGAAAGGGCACGAACAATGAGCGGCTCATGCCAAATCTTGCAGCTTGGGGGTTCATGAATGAATCGAATCAACACCCGAAAGAGAGGGATTTCAGAGACTGTGCTGGTATGGGGACGATACAGTTAGGAATGACTTATAAGAATTAATTGGTACTACCTATACTAACAAGATGCATCTACTTTTCGGTAGCCCGGATCGAAAGAACTCCACAATTAAGCGTGCTAGACTTGGAGCAATTCGGGGACTAGTGACCTCCTGGGATGTTTTCCCGGGAAGTGTGCGAGGGAAGACAAAGCACTGAAAAGTCTCCTGTTAGTGTGTGGGGACAGTCATTGATCCTTGCAAGTTGCCGGGCTTTACACCTTTCCAGGAGACTCTTTTAGGTATCTAAGTACTCGACATGCAGCATCAAAATGAGCCATAATTGGTTTAGCAACAAATTGGCTAAGCTGTCGAACAGCAAAGGATATGTCTGGTCTAGTGTTTGCAAGATATAGCAGGCGGCCCATAAGTCTTCGATATGCTGCTGGATCAGCATAGGGATCACCTTGATTCTGACATAAAGGCAGGGTGGGCTCCATGGGTGTGGAAGCAGCCTTGGCTCCAAGCAAACCACTATCTGCAAGTAATTCTAAGACATATTTGAGTTGATTATCCCATGGTGTGACCGGGCTATTTCAAGGCCAAGGAAGAATTTCAAGGATCCAAGGTCTTTGATGCAGAATAACTGATCAAGGTGATGTTTAACAAAATTGATTTCATCCATGTTATCACCAGCTAGTACCATGTCATCAACATACACCAATAATGCAGTAAATGTACCATTTCTAACCTTGGTGAATAAGGAGTGATCCGCTGAAGATTGAGAGTACCCAAGAAAAAGAAGCCCAGTGGTGAGACAGGCATTCCATTGCCGACTAGCTTGTTTAAGCCCGTAGAGTGACTTTTGAAGTTTACACACTTGGTTTGGGTAAGGAGGAGAGATACCATCAAGAACAGACATGTAAACTTCCTCAAGGAGGTCACCATGGAGAAAAGCGTTGTTGATGTCAAGTTGTTCCATAAAATAGCCACGAGCTGCAGCAACTGCTAACAGTAACCGAATGGTTGTCAGTTTTGCAACAGGTGAGAAGGTTTCAAAGTAGTCCACATCTTCCATTTGATTATATCCTTTCGCAACGAGACGCGCCTTGTATCTAGCAATGGAACCATCTGGATCATGTTTAATTTTGTAGACCCATTTAGAGCCAATTGGACGTTTACCATGAGGCAAATCTACAAAGGTCCAAGTCTGATTTTTGTTCAAAGCATCTATTTCTTCAGCCATGGCAGTAACCCATTCACTGGACTATGATGCTTGTTTGTATGTACGAGGCTCAACGAAAGAACTAATATTTTGACAGAAAGATGAGTGTGCAACTGAACATTTAGTATAAGAGATCACTGAAGAGATTGGATGAGCAGTGGAAGCAGCTGAGCTATTGCATAAGTAGTCTTGTAGACGTTTTGGTGGAATGCTTACCCTATTTGAACGTCGAGGAACAGTAAGAATTGGTTGAGGTGTTGTATCAGATAACATATCTGCAGAAGTTGGCATAGAAGAAGTACCACTGCTGTCATTTTCTGATACATCATGTAGAGGTACATCACACTGAATAGGTGCATTATCAGATGAATCACTTGCAGCTGATGATGGATGACAAAGAGCTGGTTGATGTTTAGGAGCATCTCTGCTGCTGTTGTGTGGTACATCAGTAGGTGGTATATCATACAAAATAGAAGGCTCAACTACAAACGGCAAGCATTGAGAAGTATATGAGTGCTCTGTGAGTTGCTCTTTGGAAAAGGGAAAGAAACCTTCATAGAATACTACTTTTCTTGAAAGAAAAATCTGCTTGGATAACACATCATACAAGATGTATCCTTTTACACCATCTTTGTGACCGAGATGTACACATTTCCTAGCTCTAGCATCAAATTTAAGACGCCCATGTGTAGTGGTGGAGATAAATGCTAAACAGCCAAAAGCTTTGAGATGAATTAGTATTGGTGGTTCATTATAAAGCAGCTCATAAGGAGATCTGTTATGTAAGACAGGTGAATTAAGACAATTGATAAGATGTATGGCATGCATAATGCACTATGACCACATGCTCTTTGGAATATTGCTTTGAAAAAGTAAAGCTCTTGCAATAGTGAGGATGTGTTGGTACTTCCTCTCCACAGTTTCATTTTGCTGTGGGGTCTCAATGCATGAGGTTTGATGTATTGTTCCCTTTTGAGCAAAAAAATGCGTGCATTAAGAATTCTTGGCCATTGTCACTACGAAAGGTCTTGATGGTAATTCCAAATTGATTTT